CCAACTGGACCAACCACTTGGCTTTAAGATTGTTGTGATTTTGTGTTTACTTGGATTCATGATATTATATTTCTATTTTAATTTCATTTTGTGGGATAATTGGTGGGGGTAAATTTTCATGACACTCCTACTGTCTACAAATTTGAAAGCACAAACCTTAATTTTGTTTTCACACTCTGTCTCTCTCTCTCTTTGATATTAAATTTTCATGACATGTAACACAAATTATTAACACAAATTTTTAACACAAACCTAGTAATGCTCTCATAAAAATCATAAAAAAAATTATTAACACAAAATTTTAAAATAAGTTTAAGTTTTTTCAAAAGTCGTCGTAATCATCTAACAAATAAATTTGTTTTTTTTTTTAAAAAAAATTCATAAACAAAATTAAAAAAACTAAATAAAGTGGGTACAAAAAATTTCTGTACACATCACTGAGTCTATAAAGTGGGTACAAAAAATGGAGTTGTATATTAACACAAATTTTTAACACAAACCTTAAGTATTTTTTTAATTCAACATACATTCCTATTATTCATAACAAACATGCCACATAATCTCTAGAAATTTAACAGTTATATATCAAGATACATAACTATACACACTATATGACACTTATTCCTAAACCAAACATTAAAAGCTTAATGTTTAATCTAATGATTGAAATTGAAAGACCAAACATGAAAATTCCAAAGCATTAAAGAAATCTGAGAGAGTCCATTCATTAATCTAGAACATTCAGTAACTCATTGCAATTCAATAAAGAAAGTGATGAACTAATAAAGAATTGCAAGGGAACAGCACTCCTCAACAAAAAAAAAAATGTATACAACAACCTGTGCATATAACAACAACCCAATAGATTTGTATACATTTTTGTAACCTGCTCACCTGTAACCTGTAACTCATTTGTATACAGGAGTGCTCACCTGTAACCTGTGCATATAACAACAACCCAATACAAGTCAACATTAACGCGGAGTTTTTTTTGGAAGCTCAACCCATTAAGAAAAAACAACACACCTGTTCTAACACCAAATAACACTACAAGAAATAATACTTTTTGTGTCACCTGTAACCTGTGCATATACAAAATTATTCATCCATCCATTCATTCATTCAATTCTCAACCATTCAATAAAAATATTTCTCCACAACCTGTAGCATTCAATTTTCAACCATATACACAACTTAACTATTAACCGTACATATCAAAGAAAATAAGAATCCATGAACATAGTATAATCTAACAAATACATATACTATCCGAACCAACAATTAGAATTCAAACTAAAAAAAAAAAAAAAACTTAAAAAAAAAACAATTACAATTCAAACTAAAAAAAAAACTTAATAACAAAACATATCAGCTGTACATGTTTTCCATAAACAAAAAATAAAATGTAAATTGTGTCCATGCAAACATCATCAATCTGGCCCAAAAACATCACTGTATCCATGCCAACATTATCAATCTGCAACAAAAACCAGTGAGGTAAGTAATAAAAAATGCAGAGCATGATGTTTGTTTAAACAGAATATGGTTCAATTTATTTAACAAGTAATTTAGCTTATGGAGAAGGAAAAAATTAGATAACTAACTCAAATGAATTTAGATGAATAACACAACGAATGTACCAATTGATATAGCAAGACTATATTAATAAAAATCAGTCAATGATTCCTTTTAGCTTAACATATTGTTATTTCAACTAAAATAGGCAAATAATGATTTATGAGGATATAACACACAATATCAATTATACAGCAACAAAGTGAGTTTATCAATTAGCTTTTTCGCACTCTTAACGCCCTTTTTGCTTTTTCGCACCCTTAACGCCATTTTTCGATTAAGTTTAATGCATTTTCAGCTCTAACTCCCAACCTACTCGTGCTAATTACATTTCGTCTATTGTCACAGGTCCTATTTGTCACAGGCAATGTAGTCGTGACATCCGTAACGTGGTTCGGGGGCTGTTTCGCAGTTTCGCCCCTTTAACGCCATTTTTCAGTTAAGTTTAAGGCGTTTTCGGCTCTAACTCCCAACCTACATGTGCTAATTAAATTCCGTCTATTGTCACAGCTCCTATTTATGATGGGGAAGTTGGCTGTGACATCCATACGGTAGTTCGGGGGTTGTTTCGTATTTTCGCTTTCTTAACGCCGTTTTTCGGTTAAGTTTAAGGCGTTTTCGGCTCTAACTTCCAACATACACGTGCTAATTACATTCCGTCTGTTGTCACAGGTCCTATTTGTCACGGGAAAGCTGGCCGTGACATTTGAACGACGGTTCAGAGGCTGTTGCGCAGTTTGGCCCCCTTAACACCCTTTTTCAGTTAAGTTTAAGGCGTTTTCGGCTCTAACTCTCAACCTACACGTGCTAATTACAATCCGTGTATTGTCACAGGTCCTATTTATGATGGGGAAGGTGACCGTGACATTCATACGGTAGTTCAGGGGCTGTTTCGTATTTTTGCCCCCTTAAGGCCTTTTTTCGGTTAAGTTTAAGGCGTTTTTGGCTCTAACTCCCAACCTACACCGGCTAATTAAATTCCGTCTGTTGTCACAGCTCCTATTTATGATGGGGAAGGTGACCGTGACATCCATACAGTAGTTCGGGGGCTGTTTCGTATTTTCGCCCCCTTAACAACCTTTTTCGGTTAAGTTGAAGGTGTTTTCGGCAAAGTTAATGCATATGAACAGAAGCAGAGCAGACGGGGGCTAAAATCATACCAAGTGTTAAGCTCTATTCCTATTCAATCATCTGTGACCCGAAATAACTAAGTAAGCACTATAATTTATGTAAAGTTTTGCCCAGTTCAATGAATAACTAAGCAAGCACTATATAACTAAGCAAGCACTGTAATTTACATTTTGCTGTGTACAAGAAATGTCTTCGAGGGGTGCAGGCAGTTCACGCCAACGAAAGCTGCCTAAAGTGTGGCTACTACCTCCATGAAAACCCATGCTTTAAGTAGATTTCAAATCCACTACTCAAACTTTTTAGAACAACTAAGCATTTACCAATATGTACTAAATTTAAGACACATGATTGAATTGATAAAATGGTCTTCCCTCACGTAATGAATTTTTGGAAACTAAAAAAACAATTCACGACCTAACAAAATGTGGCAGCGCATTAAATATGACATGCATTTATATTGGTGATTAGTAATTCATTTGACATTATTGTCATAGGAGATAAGGTTCACATGGCACCTATGTGATTAAAGTTATTGTCAGTGTGTTGTCACGTCAACTTGTATGACATGAAAAAACGTGCTTTCACTTTAAAAGAGTTGTCATTTGGACGGGAAAGAAGTACAAAGGTTTGAAGAGGGTTTTATGTAGATTTGAAATACATTAGTCAAACTTTTTACAAGAACTAAGCATATACGAATACGTAGTAAATGTCTGAGAAATAATTGAATTCATAAAATTGGCCTTCACCCACGTAATGGATTTTGGAAAAAACAATTAAAAAAAAAATAGTTTCCCACATAACGAAATGTGGCAAAACATTGAATATAAACTGCATTTATATTGGTGATTATCAATCCGTTCTGTGAATACTTGCATTTTTCTAACATTAGATAAACTGGTGTCCATCGAGGTCAGGACACAATCGACCATCAACGCACCAAAGTCTGCACAATCCAGTGCACAAAGGACACTTGCAACAACTAAAGCAATTGAAGAGATTTGCCACATTTGACCAAATCTATGTCATTAGTAATTGAAGTCGTAAATACATTATCAATTTACTGAATAATGATTCATTGAATATTACATTGACTCCAATTCAAAGAAAGTAGCGTGGAGCTAATATGTAAAGAAGACAAAAAACTACTGTCGAATCGATCGGATTCTCGCTGGACATTTTCTCTTATCATGCCCTCTTTGCAAACACAAACTACAATGGTGCAATTCACTTTGTCTGGAAGTATCCATTTCGTTGTGGACGCAGCTATGTTAAGGACGACCCGTTTTAACTTCACGTTGTCGAGCTGGAATAGCAAGCAAAGTTGGGTAATCATTGTCAGGCCAATATTGCTCGTGCGGCATGGGACTAAACTTCTGCGCGAAGATACGTTTGTGGACTTCCAACCTATACTCTGTCCTCGCCCAAGTTTGCTGTCACAGCAAGCATGTGGGAACATGGCGAGTGAAATAATGTGTACTTCCCACATGAACAACTCGGTGGTCGGAGACTAACTATTTGACGAGCACCACCCCCATCCCATGCGGTGCTGTCCTCACCTCATATTCCCCTATTCCCCTGCAGGAAAAATGTATGTACGTGGATTAATATGCATATATGTTTAAATATAGACTAACATCAGTGATCGACGAGTGCGAAATGTTAATGTGTAGTGAATTCGGTGCATCTAATAAAAAGTACCTATTAATCGGTACCAACATATGCACATTCGCTTTAGCTTGGTGCTCGTCAATCCATCGTTGAACATTAGTCGTGTACAAGTGACCCCGATTACTCGCATTTTCAGCAATGGTTCTGCCCTCGTCAAAATATTTCACGAGCCGATAAAAAGTTATCTCAACTGATGCTGTAATGGAAACACTGCGTGCGCCTTTTAGTATACCATTGAAGCCTTCTATATGGTTTGTCGTCAATATGCCCCAACGACAACCACCATCATGGCACAATGTCCAATGAATAGGGTTCATCCGTCTAAACCACTGTTCAGCATTCTTCTCGAGCTTGTAGATATCGTCCATAATCTTGTTAAACTTCCGCACTTGCTGTGCAAAACCAGCTCTCCACACAAGATCCTTCGCTACTGTATTGCCGAATCTTTCATTGAAATTGCTACATACGTGTCGCAAGCAATACCTATGGTACCCTCTTGATTGAACTGCTGGATTGTCCCAAATTCTTGACACGACACTAAGCAAAGCTGTGTGTCGATCGGCTATCAATGTGACCCCCTCTTGGTCACGGCACACATGTCGCCTAAGCAGAGTAATGAACCAACCTCAACTCTCGATCATCTCCTTGTCAACAACGGCAAAGGCAAGAGGTACAATCTTGTCCGCAGCAGTCACTGCAGTGGCCGCAACAATCTTCCCTTCGTATTTCCCATACAAGTGTGTGCTGTCAATGTATATCACTGGACGACAATACTTGAAGCCTTCTATTGCAGGTTTAAATGCCCAGAACACATAGTTCATGTACATTTCAGTTCCGATTGAGGTAGAGTGCAAATTCAGAATCATGTCCCACATGACAACTGTGCCTGGATTGAATGCCTGCAATGCAGCCATATATCTAGGCAACCTTCGGTACGATTCGTCCCAGTCACCAAACACCATTGCAACTGCCTTCGTCCTTGCAAGCCACGCTTTCTTATATGATATAGTGAACTGAAACTTCTCATTCACAACCTCAATTATGGTAGCAAGAGGCAATTCTGGTGATATCTGCAAATATAAATTATATTTGAATACATTACAGTCATAATGAAATCCTAAAAACAATAATCTATCTAGCATGGCACTTACCGCAATTTGTGCCTTGATGAAATGAGCAATGACCTCGGACTTGAGGTTGCAATTGTCCCTATTCATTCTAGGGTACACACACTGATGCGGCACTTCAAACCTTCTAATTTGAAAGAAATCTTTGTCTTTCAACTTCATTGCCCGAACCCTCCAGTTGCAGCCGTGCTTGCACTCGGCCACCCAACTGTTTCCTTTGGATTCTACGACCTTGCATTCTCGATTGTGCTTCAGGTTATACAACTGAACAGCGTGCACTAGTCTTTTCTTATCAGTAAATATCATTCCTTTCTCCAAATGAGCAGTTTCAAAGTCCCACAATGGCTAACGTTCAACAACATCACGGCTAGTGACGGAACCATCATTGTCGAAATGCAAATTATGGTAGAAAGGGATATGGAGATTTGTGTGTACCTCCTGCATATCATGATGCCCTCCAACTTCGTCATCACCGGAGTCATTGTCTGCACCTTTCCATGCGCCATCCACATCTTCCACGGAATCTTCATCACTTACTCCAAGCTCGTCAAACAATGGCACTGTATCATCGGAGGATGCATAATTTTGGACAGTCGTCTCCGTTGTATGTTGAACATTACAAATCGGTGGACATTCTTCATTCCAGTGGGGATATGGGGTTGTAAGAACCATCGGATTATACGTTGTCGGAGCACTTGGACCTGCTCCGGCACTATAATAACCATCTACTGGTTATAAGTCTAGTTTTTTACATTTTTGCCCTTGCGTTGATTGCTATTCTATACTAAGAGAATCGTCAATTTCTTCAAAAAGTTGTAGAAAACAATATGTTTGGGTATAATTAATTGTAAATAGTGATTTTGACAAGCAAATCAAGTAAAACCAATTGGGTTTTAAACTTAGTCCCCCAGCTGGACCAACCACTTGGCTTTGACCTTGTCTATGTGGGAGCTCTAAGACATTACTTAAGGTCTCATTATCTTTGATTGGCAGCAACCTATACTTCCCCCGACATAGGAGTCTACATTTAAACTCTAATCGCATTATTTCCCCATGCGTACCAACCTTCGACACCATCATAGCCTCCAACTCGCCCAATGTTATCCCCCTGTGCACATTATACAACCCCTGAGGTTCGGTGTCGTATGACACACCTTCATCACGATTGCGCAAAATCTTTCCACCCCAATAGAACATAATGCTCACAACTTCCATACCTACACTTTGGATTCAAAGTAACTCAATTATTTCAAAATAATAAAGTAAGCACATTTGGGAGCAAACACCACATATATTACACAAGAGTGCCTTTAGGCATGGGTCTTTTGGTATTACAAAATATTTAAGTGGCATATCGACATGAACATGGAAATGAAAGTTATTTGCTCCATATATAATAGCATCCTACATGACTTATATTTCTTGTATTATTTAGAAGGATTATCTATTTGTACATTTAAACAAAAAATCATGTGTGGGATCATTTCTCCAATTATCATGAATTAACATTTGAATTCTTTTGTTGTGATTTGTCATGATTTCTTCATCCCTTCTTACGAGCTTATGTTTTCCTTTACTCTTTGTTTTATGTTGTTATGCTTTCCCTTTGGTATTATTATTATTTTTTTAGATAATTTTTTCAATTAAAACTCTTTTTTTGGGGCTTTCATGGGTGGGTGTTTTCAAATGCTTTGAAAGAACCTTTTCCATATCTTTAATTGACATTTTGTTCAGGTTTATCAAACCCGTTTTCGTCATGTGTTTCGTGTGTAGTTGCTTTCATACTTTGATTTTTTTAATTTCACATTCTATGAAATAGCATGCACATACTGTAAGAACTCTTCCCACAACCTCACTATGCGCGCCATAATTTCTAATTGCATCTTCATGTATTGAACCATTCATGTAAGACATTATAACCAATAGGCCTTTGATACAGAAAAACTCTACTAAACTAATTCTTCATACTATAAGAACCTAATTTTACAAGCCCTAATTTTTCATACTATAACAACCTAAGAACTTCCAACAGGAAAATCCTAAATTGTTCACAAGTTCAAACTCTAAACTACCATGCCCACAATTGTTCAGTCTGAAACGATAGTATAAAATATCGAAATTCCAACTTTCCATGAAGAATAAAAAGTATCTTGCCTTCTAAAAACATAAACACATTAAGCTTTTGGGTCAATCGCTAATCTAATAGATTCATGTAGCTACATCTAATCAATTCACGCATGGAGTTACAACACCTCAGTTTAGAAGAAGCTCTGAGGATTGTTGAATAAACATTTGTTTTCTTAACTCCGTTTGATTGGGCTAATTACATTGATAAAGAGGTTATCTTTGCAACTTGGTAAAGTAAATGCCAGTCAAACAGATGTCAGATCAAGTGCAAATCAATGACACATAGACCCTTTGAACTTCTTTTGACTAAAAATCACCACAAGAATTAAGACCAACCAAAAAAGATTTTTTGAGACTTTATTGTGATAACAAATTAGCTACCAATTGTTCTCGTAGTCTAGAATCCATTAAGGGGCAATACACCAATTGTTTATTTTTCCATGCCTACTGTTACAAGAATTTCGTAATTTCTTTTAATATATTTTTCTTAAAATGGGAAACCCCTTTATCCAACTAAGCATTCATAACACTCAACATGTTCAAGTAATTAACTATTGAGAATTTATTAACATCAATAAAAGTTTTTGTTTCTTTTCCTAAATATTTTCATACACTTTCAAATCCTTTTGTTATTTCTCATGTTTTCAAAAAGTTTGAAAAGTTTCCAATTCTATTTTCATTTCCAACCTAACCGAAAGAATGTACGGAAACGAAATTTTGATCCTATTAGAGAAGACGGGAAAATTATCACATTTTAATAACAACATTTGATTTCTTTAACATCAATTTATAACCCAAGTTTGAGATCACATATGCACACCCATACAGTACCACCGAACAAAGTACTAGCCAAAATTAACAACAAACAAAGAAAAAAAGAAGAAAAAAAGCTTACTAAAAATAAAAAAAAAGAAGAAAAAATAAGCACTTTTTCATATTTTTTATTTTTTAGTGAAATTTTTTTCAGACTTCTCATAAATATTAAAATTTTAAGTATATTTATATTAGGTGCATCAAAATAAATAGATTTTTAATTAAAATCTAAAAAAAATCAAAAATAGATGAAGACAAAAATAAAAGCTCTTTTTTTTATAAAAAAAAAAATTCTAAACTCTATTAGAATGTGTGTATTTCTTAAATTTAAATTTATCACAATAGTACCTGTAATCCCGTGCAAGGCTTGGGCATTTTACCCTAGTATCTATATATCTGGCCCTAAAGGGTTGCACTCTATCACAAAAATATGGTTTTACCATAAAATTGTGTAACATCAATAACAAAATATATAATCTTGTTACAAATTAGCATAATAAAATGTCCAAAATTTTGTGGTTAATGATGTAAAAGTTTTTGGCTTAGTTACGATATTTTTTATTATGCCAATTTGTAGTTAGGTTATGCATGATGTAAAAGTTTATGGTTTTGTTGCGGCATTTTTTGTTACATCAATTTGTAATAGGATTACACATTTTGTGGTAGGTGCATATGGTAGCATTTTTCCATATATCTAGGCTTGAATAACTCGATTTAGATCTATTGTTATTGCATATGATGTAATGGGTTGGGCTAGGCTGTGGGCTCATACAAGAAAATTGTGGGCTTATTATAGGGCTTGGTCCAAACGGGCCAGACTTCTATATCTAGAGGCTTTGAATTATAGGATTTTCTTTTTTTCAAAAAAGGTTTGATTCCCTTATTAGATGTGGGCTTTTTCTTTTTATATTTGTTTTGAGGATCTTTCTTGCACATATTTATAATTTTCTTTTCATGTACTAAAAAAAATGTAATTAAAATACAAGGAAAAATATGTTAAGTTTGTTGTGAAGTTTTCTCAAACCTATTATATTATTATTTGAAGGCATTTGTTATTCCCAAACTTTTAGAATTATGAACTTTTTTTTCTTGCCATTTCTATTGACAAATTTAAAATCCAAATGTAGAAATTAAAATTAAATCTTCTAAAATATGCCCCTCCATTCCTCGGTCATTTGGCATATTAATTCCATGTTGATCATTCAAGAGGTAAAGTCTCAGAAAATTATGAAGTCCAAGTGTCCATCAATGGCCGTAGGGGGTTCAAGGACAACAATGTGATGTTCAATCACCAAAAACTCCAAGCAACTCATTGTTGTCCTTTGTTTTTAATCTTTCCTCAACCCACTTACAAAAATATATATATTTTTTGATTGGTATCCGGCCGTAATGACTGACTAATATGATCTCAAAAATACATATATATATATATTTGGATTGGTATCCGGCCGTATTGACTAACTAATATGAGAGATCAATCCCAACGTAGTGGACAGTGGGACAGTGGGATTAAGGGAAGAAGAAGAAGAAATCATAGAGTCCACTCTTTTGCTTATGTCTCATCTCTTTATTGACTGACTATAAAGCTAGTGTTTATATGGGTCAATCGTAAATAAGATAGTCTCTTGCTTAAAAATGCTGTCTGTATAATTTGCATTTATTGAGAGAAAATTATACTATTAATACGTCTTGAATGTGGAGATTTAAAAGGTTGAATTTGGATATTTTAAAGGTTTGGAATCACTAGGAACTCCAATGATGTGTTAAAAATACCAAGTAAAATAGATGCACTACTTGAAATTGACAAGTTGAGAGTTAGCGAGTTAGCAAAACTCTTGCATCAATTCGAAGAGAAGATCGAAAGCTTTCACGAGGAATTTGCGTTAAGGATGTGGTCGTATTAGGCGGGGAATAATGTCACAACTTGGGAATTTTATCAAATATTTGAGTTACGAATTCGATTTTAGATTTATGTAAAATTTTGTAGAAATCCCTATAATTAGGTAGATAATTGTAGAATTTTTTCATCATAAGGTGGTGGAAGGATGTAGATAGCTTTCATACTACTAGATCATTGAAATTTATACATATCTAGACTATTAATTAAAATATATAATAGGCAATCATTTGGTTATAATGGAAGAATTATATAGTTTCCACACCATTGGATTGTTGATATTTGTATATATATCTAGACTATTAATTGAAGATTTGAAGGCCAAAGGCATCATTTGGCCAAACTAGCAAAGCAATGGTAAACTCTCCGTACTTCCAATTCGAACTTTACTTCTTGTGAACTTGCTATTTTTAATTCAAACTCTCTGTACTTCCAACTCAAACTCTATACCATCCTGAAAGTCCATCAGGGTGGGTACCACATGCACACAAACCATGGAAGGCCATGGCCTCCCTGCCTAGTATATATATATATATGGGTTCATTTTATGAGACATGAACTACCTTATCTAATTTTCAATTTTATGCTCACAAGACATACGACTATGCATTTAAAGTTCATTTTCCTAGAGTTCATTTTCAACTAGATGTTATGTTTATGTAAAAGAAACATTATATGGTTGGATTATAAATTCTTATGCTCTGATTAACAGGAAATAGAGGACGGGGAGTTCATTCGTGTAAGGATAGTTCACTTCAATGGGAAACCTCGAGTACTAACATTGAAGCAGGATTTGCATTACTGGCCTACATGGGAACTGAGATTCAATCCTGAAGCTGCAATGTGGCGTCTTAAAACAATCAAAGCATTAGATGAGGGTATTGTATGAACGTACTCTTTTGATTTTATTGTCTAGAATTTGTTCTATGAAAAACATCGTTAGGCTCTGAAATCACTTCAAATTGAATGTGGTGAATCCTATTGTTGGTTTTCGTACTATTTGTATTAGGATTTTTTGGTACATCTTATTGGGAGGCTCATATAAAATTACATTTGAATGACATCATAAGTTATATTTGAATAATTGAAATAAATAAAATACCAATTTCAGATTTTCCATCATCTTTTGTTCCCCTCCCCCCACTTTTCTGATTTTGGTGGTGTATGTTTTTATAAGAAAATGGTCTACAAACAATAAATTTTTGAAGAATTTCAAACAAGAAATATGTCACATTGATGAATCTTTCATATGTGTCACAAATTTGTGTTGTTGTCAAGAACAAACTAACTTCAAAGGAGAAATGTTTTGGTGTTTGAACCCAACCTTGTTCACAGGAATGGTATCCATCTTCATAAGAGGCGCGCGTGTGTATTGCAA